CCAAGTTGCCCGGGCTGGGAATTATTTTTTCAGACACTTGCTCCATTTTTCTCTTGATGATTCTTGTCTTTTAAAAAAATTGATCTTCGATCCCATGCTCAGTCATTCTCCAAGCAAGTATTTATCAAAGAGAAATGAAAACCAATGTCGGCTGGGCATGGTGGCTCATGGCTATAATCCCAGCACTTTGGGAAGCCAAGGTGAGAGGATTGCCTGAGCCCACGGGTTCGAGACCAGCCTGAGCAACTTGGTGAGACCTCATCTCTACAATAAATCAAAATATTAGCCAGGCGTGGTGGCACGTGCCTATAGTTCCAGCTACTTGGAAGGGTGAGGCAGAAGGATCACCTGAGCCCAGCAGGTCGAGGCTATGGTGGCCAGGAGTGTGCCACCACACTCTAGCCTGGGCAAAAGAGTGAGACTCCAACTCAAAAAAATAAAATAAAATAAAAAGAAAGAAAAGAAAACCAATGTCCACACAAACACACATACTCAAATGATCACAGCAACTTTATTCAACTTAGCTCCAAACTGAAAGCAACTCAGAATGTTCATCACAAGTGAATGGAGAAACAATCAGTGGCATACCCACACAATGGGATACTGATTTCCATTATAGTTCTTTTTCACCACTATGTAATATTCCACCATATGACTAGATTTTCTCCAGTGGGTTTTTGGCTCTTCTTCTTCTTCTTTTTTTTTTAGAAAGCAGGATTTACTGAGAGGACAGAAAAGCTCCCACAATGGGAGGGACCCAAGGGGATTGCCCAGTTTTTGACTCTTCTGTCTAGCAACACTGCAGCATTTTTACACTGATCTCCATTGCCTGTGTGCTCGAGTTTCTCCAGGCAGCGTCCCTTTGTGGAAAAAAGTTGGGTCACAGTGAATGAGGATGTTTTACAGATGTAGATGGTGCCAGAACATCTTCCAAAGTTCCCTACATTCTACCTTGCCAACAACGAGGAAGAGGGGTGGTGAGCCACATTCTCCCCATCCTTGATGTTATCAGATCTCTAAGTGTTTTCCAACCTATGGTTGTGAGTTAAACCCTCACCATGTTCTTGATGTGTGTGACTCTGATCACTTATCAGATGGTGCTTCTCTTCACATGTTCGTTGGTTTCATGTACCTAGGAGAGTATCCTGACCTCTCCTATGGGGATGTTTTAGTGTCTTGTTTAAGAAATCCATGCCTTAAGATAGAAATATTCCCAACTATTTCCTACTAATAAAGTCTTAATACTCTACTTTTGGTTCCATGCTCCAATGAGTCTGGGTCTGGGTCTCACTACAGAGTGAGTATCGTCTGAGGTTGGAGGGCAGTGGCACAATCATAGCTCACTGCAGTCTTGACTTTTTGGGCTCAGACGATACTTCTGCCTCAGGCTCTCAAGTAGCTAGGACTACAGGCACTTGCCACCAACTCAGCTAATTTGTTTTTTTAAAGATATGAGGGCTGGGCTCGGTGGCTCACCTTGTAATCCCAACACTTTGGGAGGCCAAGGGGAGTGGATTGCCTGAGCCCACAGGTCCGAGGCCAGCCCAACTTGGTGAGACCTTGTCCTACAATAAATCAAAAATGAGTCGGGCATGGTAGTACACGCCTATAGTTCTGGCTACTTGGAAGGCTGAGGTGAAAGGATCGCCAGAGCCCAGCAGGTCGATGAGTGTGCCGCTGCACTCCAGCCTGGGAGACAGAGTGAGACTCCAACTCGAAAAAAAAAAAAAAGAGATGAGAGGAAGAAGAAGGCTGGTCTTGAATTCCTGGGCTCAAGCAATCTTCCGCCTTGGCCTCCCAAAGTGTTGGGATTATAGGTGTGAGCAAAGGTGCCCAGCCTGGAGTTCTTGAATGTGATAATGCCATATAAGGTCTTCCTTTGAAAAGATTCAGAGTGGTTCTTTAAACTGGGACTCTGGGTCTTCCTCCCACCAGCTTCAACTCAAACAGCTCTGCAGTTTTGAAATAACATTTTTATTGAGATATAATGCACAGAGCATATAATTCACCCTTTTGCAGTTACTTAGTTTTTAGTATATTCTCAGGGTTGTGCAACCATCACCCAATCTAATTTCAGAATATTTTCATCACCCCAAAAAGAATCTCCACTCCCCCTTCTTCTAGTCCCTGGCAACCACAACAGTTCTGCTTTTAGCAGATTTGTTTTCTTAATTGGGGTCCTGAGTAAGATTTTATTTGGGGCCAGGCATGGTGGCTCAAGCCTGTAATCCCAGCACTTTGGGAGGCCGAGGCGAGAGGATTGTCTGAGCCCAGAGGTTCGAGACCAGCCTGGGCAACTTGGCAAGACCCTGTCTCTACAATATATCAAAAAATTAGCCGGACGTGGTAGCACGCGCCTGTAGTTCCAGCTAATTGGAAGGCTGAGGTAGAAGGATCGCCTGAGCCCAGCGGGTCAACGCTGGGGTGGTCATGAGTGAGCCACTACACTCCAGCCTGAGCAACAGAGTGAGATTATGACTCAAAGAAAAAAAAAAAGATTTCATTTGGGACAAAGTTTTCTGCTGCTTACAAAAAGTTTGGAAACCTCTGGCATCGGGAAGACCAATGGAACTAGAGTTTAGGTGTCTTGCATACTGTCTCCAGAGAGACTAAGTCAACGTTCTCTCAAAGGAGATACCGCAAGTGGGTTGCAGAGTTATAAATGTACAAATGAGCCTTCACTGCCCCAAAGGGCCAGGCCAATTTCAGAGACCAAGAAAATGTGCCATGGGATCCATGTCATTATATGTGTCTAATTTACAAGAAGGAGAATAATAAGCCCTTAGCACCCTCATTTTGTTTTCCCACTGGTGATTTTTGGACATAGTGGCACTTACATACAACACGCCGGGGATCAGCAGTCAGCAGGGAAGATGTGGAGAGACAGCACTGCACACTCAGCTGAGGCAACCCTTCCCTGCCTCTCCCGGGACTTTCTATTTCTAGACCCTGTTTTATTTTCTTCTAGGCATTTGTACTTCCAGCAAGCACCTGCTCTGTTTACTGCTGTGTGTCCTCTGAATGTGGGTTTCTGAAGGGTCAAAGCCACTGATGTACTCCCACCCTTAGTGCCTAGAACAACGTAGACGTAGATAGTGAAGAAACAGCTGTCCAAGGATGCATGGTGCTCATCCCTGGGTCCTCGTGTCCTTCCTGGGCTCATACCTCCTGCTTCAGCCATCCCAAGCTCAGTCCCTGAGCTGAGGCCCTTCCTTGCATCATCATCTCACCCTCATCTGATTTCCTGATAAAAAATGAATAGAGTCAGATGCAGTGGCTCATGCCTGTAATCTCAGCACTTTGGGAGGCCAAGGCAGAAGGATTGCTTGAGACCAGAAGTTCCAGATCAGCTTGGGCAGTATAGTGAGACTGTTTCTCTACAAAAAAAAAAGGAAAAAGAAATAAAATTTTAGTATATACCCCAAATATGCTACTGGAATGTACTTATTTTTTTGTTTGTTTGTTTGTTTGTTTGTTTTGAGTTGGAGTCTCACTCTGTCGCCCAGA